AAAAATTAAAAAGCCGATATTGGCATCTTTTTTTTTAATTTTTTTTTAAAATTATACTTAATGCGATTAAAAAAAACTATAAAATATTTTGTTGAAACAGAAGAATTGTACAAGCTTTCATTGTAGTTGCATACGGGTTTCTTTAATTTTATAGTCATGGAGTAACAATAAGATGTATAGATGAAGTTAGTATCGTGCAGTTTTATATACAATTTTAAAGTTTTACCTTAAAAACTAGTGTTAATCTCGCAATCGTATAAATGTGACTTTTTTATCGTCGAGCAATTGTTTTGGTTTTTTGTTTTTCTAAAATTTTTTTTTAGCACAGCATTGAAGCTGAACTGCACCTACGATTCCTTATATAAGATGAACAAGCTAATGAAGAAAGAGAATTTTTTGACGTGCGTCACCTCCACACTCGGCGAGGATAATCAAAGTAGGCGTACACTATGCAATATATCTTTTGTTTCCTAAAATTTATCATATATATATTATATGCCAAGATAGTACTACAATTGGGTTTTACTAAATTACTTGTGAGGTTTCAGAAAATTTTCCAGACATCCGAAAAAAATATAACGCTACATAAATAGTACCTTTAAGGTGCGCTGTAATAATGTTTAGTAGTAAAGGTATATATAATTAAACCAACTTCAAACTTTACGGCTATCTGCTTTGTATGCACATGAGTTTTGTATTGAAAAGAAGCCTTCGCAACTTTTCAGTTATATGAGACTGTGTACGAAAATATGGTCATCTTAAAGACCGGCTTCTTAGAGAACTGAAAAGCATATAAGAAAGAACACAATTTATTATTAAAAGAAACTTACCAAAACTTTTGAAAAAACTTTGGGAACACTCATGGAAATTAATAACATCTCTTTATTCTTACCGCAATAATTTAAATTTTCCACCCATATATTGTCAGGATGCATGGCAAAAGCTGCTATAGTCCTAATACTTTATTTAATCTCGAAATCTTTTACGTCAACGCTTCATTGTAATTATTTAATATGGACGCTCATTTTTATAAAAAAATTACATCTGCCTAATTAACGCACTCCGAAACTAAAAAGATGTGTTATATCCAACAGTGCTCGTATTCTTCACAAGAGAGGCCTTTGCCTTCACCAACAAGTTCGTTAAGTAGATATTTACTAAGGGTCCCTCTTTCCCTATTGTTGCGAATATTTAAATTTGAATCATAAAAATTTGCGGACGCTGAAATACTTATGAGGTCTACAAACTTTGAGAATGGAAAAGACATTATCCTAATTTCAAGTTGGTTTCCGTAAGATGCATTTTACTATTTAACAAATATTAAGTCTTGGAGGACCTACGACTAACGATTTTACCAAAGTTTGAAAGAAACTTTAAGCAAGATAGAGATTAATTTCTTATATCATTGATCCACATTATAATAAACCTTTTCATAGAATTAAAAATTTTCAGTCTGTATAAGTACGGTTTTATCAGCGAAATATTGGAGTTACATAAGTATTACTTCTACCTCTATTCGCACTCTATTTAGCAAACACTTCCGATTTTAATATTGTATAAGATGTCAAATATACAGATGATACAACTGATTTGCTGATGGGAAAATAACTATTAAAGCTTTTAAAAGTATAAAAAATGTTTTAAACTGCCATTCATGGAGCTCTCATGTTAAGTTCTTCTGAGTCACATCTGATAAAAGTTTAATTTAAAATATTTATGATGAGTTTGATATAAAAAAAAGAGATGAAGACTAACTAAGAATGGTTTGTATTCGTTAACATGTAGATGCAGCGAACTTTACCAAAAAATTAGTGGCTCATATAAAAACTAATAATTTTTCCAATTATGGTTTTTTGGGAGGCGGTCTATACACCTCTACTTTTTACTACGGATTTGCTTTCAATACTTTGACTAATCACAAATATTCTTAAAACTTTATTCATATATCCATACATAGTAGTTTACATATATAATCTTATCTATACATATATATATCTAAGATGTATACTTACTCTTCCACTTAATTTATTTTATGAATTTTTTACTTTACCTATATCTAATGACTGTTTTACTCACCAACGGGACCCGATCTACAAGTATTTAATGCTACGAAAGCTAAGTTATATAATTATATGAAAATAGAAATTCTGGTAAAACTGCTTTTAAAAAACGAAAAATCTTAAAAGTTGGTAAGTGCCTTGGCACTCTTAGATCTAATATTTTCACTGCTCCTCCGACTTCTTAACGGGTCATGAGACCATAAATAGTATATTTAAACGGATATTAAGATGCCCGACAAAACAACAGATGATTGAGTACCTACCAAGTCTCTGCCTATTATTGTAAATCATAATAATAACAACAGTAATAGCAATGGTAATAGATTAAAAAATAATAGTAACATATATAACGACAGTGTTAGTTGTGTTAATGGATGTGGTGGTTAGGTAAAAGCAGTATTAGTAATACCAGCAATAGTAACCACTACAATAATAATAACTCTAAAAATACAAGTAAGAATGATAAGGATGGTCCTAAATTACCCTTTTTTTATTACTCTAAAAAATTAAAGTGAACGACTAATCATAATAAATCTATTTAAAGAAAACAATAATTTCCTTTTATTGCAAAGATGTAGCTCGATGAATTAGGGTTTGTCCGTCTTCAAAACATGAATTTTTGGACTGAGGGCTAGAAAACTTTATCTATAGCTTCCCCTCCGAAAAAGAACTTAAAGTTGTAGTTTGAGGTATCTTACTGAAATGGACGCGGAAGATATCAAAAAAAAACTTGAACTTTAAAGGATGCCATCCAGGTGAAGTAATCAGAGCTCAAAAATAAGATAAAAAATAAACCCCGCTGCCTATTGTAAAACTTCTAAGTCAGATTTGGAAAGGATCAATGCTATATGAAATATAGGATTTATCTCCGTTACTCTGAATCTTTCAAGCTAACATAGTGAACGAGTTAACCCCAATGGCTTGATCCTCGATGACTGGACCGCACTAACTGAAACCGTTTTTTTGGGCTAAGAGAACCTACACACTTATTGAGTTCAAGCACAAGAGATGTCTTTATCACGATACTCAAAGATATATCTTATCATGTTGCACTCTTCGTTCTGCATCAACTTTCCTCTGAGCACAACCCTATTTTGCTGATCGCCTAAAAAAATATTACCTGCAATCTCTAAAATATGCGTGGATGATATTTTACCGACTTGTGCATATCCTTTATCAAAGAATTAAATAAATTCAACGATTTTTACCTCGCTGTTAGCTTCCACAACCGAGAAGCGTCATAAAATTTCTTTTAAAAAGAAGAAAATTATGGTGCTTGGTAGTAAATTGCAAGTTTTTCGAATATGATAATCACGGATGCTTCGTGGTTTATACGTGGCACTCACTTATATCATTACTGATAGTAAATAAAAAATTAATGCTCTGTATTCAAAAATTCCTAAGGAATGCTATATAGTATACATTAAACTTTTCTATAGTTGGTCTTTTTAATTATACACCAGACAGTAAGACTGTAGTCCCTAAACACGTTCTGAACTGTTAAATATTGTAGTACGTAAAAGTGTTCCATTTTTTATAGTAGTAATTAATCATATTTTATTTGTAATATATAGTTTATTATACTACGAAGTTCTTCAAATTCTAAATAAGATACATAAGTCAATTTGTACTTTACTTTATTAGTTAATTTATATAGAAAAATGTAACGGCATTGTAATTTAACTTCATATACAAATTTATAATTTTATTTATTTTATTTGTTTTATATATATTTTTATTTTTTATATATTTCTTTGCCGACGATTTGCTAATAAACTAATGAGGAAACTATAACGTATACGTCTCTTCAGGATTTCTGATTCCCCAAACATATTTTTTAATTTGTAAGGGGCACAGAAAAAAAAGCAGTAAAGATGGGCTATGAATATCGACTGTAGTATGCTATTCCAATAATAAATATTTAATCATTTTACAAAATACTGTTCAAAACTTTAAATAGTATGCGAAGTTTTTATTTCTATGCAACGATAAGACGTATTCAAATGAATTTTAGATTTTGAGATATCAAAAGTTATGTTTTTAAAAATATGCTATAAGTCTTACAGAGTTTTATTTTTTCCCACTAGAAGGAATCATTTCTCTGTACATAGAGCCCTAAAGTTAAAAAGAATACCCACAACTAATTTTTTTTAACTAAATTTATTTTTTTTAGTGAAATATTTAAGAAGATATGTATATACTTGCACGAAGAAAATAGTTGAATTAAAATGGTTGCCTAAATTATATTCTCTGCTTAAATATCTGTTGCTGGTTTAAAGTAAAACTTTTTATTAATAATAAAATATTTAAATTTTTAAAAAGAGAGAGTGAGCAGAAAACTAACTTAACGTAATAACATTAACCATTCTTTTTTTAATATTATAACCAGAAATTGAAATAAAAAATCTATTAAGTTTTTTGCTTTAATTCAGAAGACCACATTTGTACGATATTTTTTTATTTTTTTTTAGTTATCACACTCTTCTTATTATAATTTTAAAGTTAGATAACTTTTATTTAATTTAGTAAACTATTTAAAAATATATTTCTTGGAAGTACATAAAAGATTGTGCTGCCATAGAAATTTCAATAATTCTACCACTCTGATCTGTAATCTAAACAATCTACTTTAAACTTTTTTTTCCATGCTAAAATTTTTTTTTGTGACCAACAAAATAGTATCGCAGCGCTTTGCTATTAAAAAAAAAACTTGGTTGCCATATGTAATAATTTCTGGGAAAAGTCTCGTTCAATTTTTAGTTAGTTTTTTTAAAGGGTTAAGCATTCCTTCTTGTGTCCTTCATTGTAGAACTTGTTCGTTGATTTTTGCCTTTTGCCTAAATAAAAACTTACAAAATAATTTTTTTATTAAATATTAAATCTTTTTAAGTGATTCTTTAATTAATATACTATTTTTCTTTACAGCGTAGCTGCTTTGTGGTTGTGAGTGTAATAACTTTACGACTTTTTTTTTACTATCATGTTTAAGTTATTTAACTCAACATTCCAAAACAAGGTAATATATAAGGCGAGATTTACATATATAAATAATTATATAATACTTTTATACTTCCGATAAACTTTTTTTTTGGTAACCTTTATTGTAAAATTATAATTTTATTTAATTTTTAATTTATCATAACTTTTAAAAAATTATAAACACTTATTTTTATATTTATAACAAGTATTTTAGCTATAATATATATATAATTTTCAAGCTAAATAAGTTTTAGTTATTCGAATTGAAGTTATTGTTTCATCATTACTGATTTTTTGAACTATAGTTTATAATTTTATTAATAAAATTTTACTTCTTTGTAGTTAGTTATAAAGTTTTTTCATACTTAATTTATTTATCCTTGATTAAATTATTGAAACATGTGGGTTTTTAATTTATATTTTTCGTTAATACTGAATTAATTTGCTTTATTCTACTACGGTTAATATTTTTATAAAGAATAGCCTATAAATTTTTTTTTTTTATGTTATCAATTAGATAAAATTATGAGACTATTAAAGTTTATATATACTTGATTTACAATTTTTAATAACGTGTTAACTTATTTACGATTAAGCATAAAAAAATATTATTTTATTTATTTTATTTCGTAATTATTTCCGTAACATCAAGTTATTCTGCTATTTTCTATATTTATTATATAACTTTTGGGGGTTGCGTTTTTATATAAAGTAATTGAAAAGCACTTTATTATCTATAAAAAATTTTAGAGATTTTCTTTCAAGTTTAATTAAATAAATTTATAATTCAGATTGTTTAGGTTTTCAAATTTTAATATATTTGGAACTTTATTAAATTTGTTTTTCATTATAATACCTTTTTTTCCCCAAAAAATAGTTTACAAGTTTATATTTTAGTAATAAAAAGTTATAAATAAGTTTTTGAATTAAATTAATCTAAAAATTAATTAGGAAATTTTAATTAATCACTGGGGATATTACTAAAGAAAAACAAATAAAATAAAAAATAGTACATTAAATTGTCGATGGAGTTTATTTACAACTTTTTATTTACTTAATTATGATCTTTTTTAGTATTTCATTATAAAACTTCTTTCGTCGCCTTTTCTTAGTCATGTACTTATTACTATTTATTAATACATACTAATAAATAAATGTTATTTACATTTAATTTTATACTCTTAAATAAAACATTTTTTATTATCATATAGTAACCAAATTCTTTATTTATAAAATTATATTAAAATTGATTTTTGCTTAAAAGTATAATTTTTTTTACCTTCTACTAAGTTAACTATATTTCAAATTTACCCTCGAAGTGACTCTTTTTGCTTACTTTGCTTCCATTGAACATTATAGAACCTTTTTAGCTTTAAACGGCGCTATTTTGCTCATCCCGAAGCCAAAATCACTACACTTTCCAACGGCGTGCGCGTGGCCACCGAGAAAATCTACAACCCCGCCGCTACGGTGGGCGTGTGGCTCGATTCGGGTTCAAGAGATGAAGATTCATTGTCTAACGGTCTTTATTTTTTAAATTAATTTGATTGGCTTATAAGTAACCATTCATTATGTCATTTTCTTTAACGTTTTTTACGTTTTTTAATTTTTCTTGTGCGTTGTACTATTTATAAGTAACAGTTAAGTTTACTTTGAATTTATTTATTATAATTAATATATAATAGCGCCTTTAGTTTTACTTTTTGTATATAAAATTATTTTAAATTCACTAAATAATATTCTACTCTACTAACTTATTTATCAGTACACTACTAAATTAAATTAACCAATCAATTATTTAATAAATGCAATTATTAAATAAGCAAAATAACTTTTATACAAATTTTATGTTAAAAATGTTAAAAATATTAAATCATCCAGTGAGCTATCAAAAAAAGTTTCGAACGTTAGTTTATTTTTTTGTAATCAGAAAGTTAATTATCCAATCGGCGAATCATATATAGTCTAAACCTTTTTTAGGCGCTGCTCACTTTTTAGAACATCTCACTTTCAAGGGCACTTCGAAGCTGAGTCAGTCGGATTTTGAGGTTTTTATATGCTTAGTTATCTAGTTTTCTATTGGAAAATTTATTTCAGTATATTTTTTGTGTTCATTATAATTTTTTCGCCTTCTGCTTTTACATTAAAAAAGGAAATATTGTTGTAAAGTTTTACACATGACTTTAATAGTCGGCAAATGACCTACTATGTAAATCCTTGATAGCGCCATTTGGCGTTGGACACACACGAGCATATTAAATATATTTTTATTCTTTTTACTTATTGTATTTTTTTATATGAAAAGAAAGAAGTCGAGAATTTGGGAGCCACCATGAAAAGTACTACTTCTCGAGAAAATGCATCATTTAGCGCTTTTGTTCATGCAAATAACGCTGGAAAATGTATTATTTTTCCAAAATAATAATTATTAATATAAACAATAAATGACAATAGAAAACGCAATAAAAATGTAAATATATATAAATTATGATGAATACTAATAAAAATAAAATATTTCCATTATAAGAAAAATTAAAAAAAATATTTAATAAATGGAGAAAAACACTTTGAAAAATATTATGAAAGTATATAAAAAGTGAATATAAATGAAAACGATATAAAATGAATATAAAACTATAAAAAAGTTTCTTTTCTTGTTAAAAAAATATAAATATTGGTAATGTAAATAAGAAATATTCTTATAAAAAATAAAAAAAGTATAAAAAGTAAATGTTGATAATAATTTACAATAAATAATTAAAGTAAAGTTCTAATAAAAATAATAAATGTTAATAAAAGTAATTATATTGATAGCAATATAGAATAAAAAATAAATATATTTTTCTACTAAAAAAAATAATAAAATATAAATAAAAAAATAAAGATAAATTTTTCTAATAAATATTTTAATAATGTAATTCTTGTTATCTTTATTATAATTAATATTTACTTTTTATTATTTTTCAAAAAATTTAGATAAAAGTTTTTATAATAAAAAAAATAACAACACGTCTATTTATTACTTTAAATATAATTTATAGGAAATAATAAAATCGTTACTATTATTATTATTTTTAATATAATGTTTTGGAAAATAAAACTTTTATTCATTTCTACTACAATTTTTACGAAAATAATAGAAAACTTCTTTTATTACTTTTATTATATATAATAGAAAAAAACTATATAACTTATTTTTTTTTATTTTTAACTATTTTTATTATATTTTTGAAATAACTATAAAAACTTTATTATAAAACAATCTTATTTATAACATTTAGTATACTTTTTTATTCAATTTATATTAGCTACTCGTATCAACTCTATAAATTTTTTGTTATAATTCACTCTTAATAAATATTATTATCTTGAGGTCTCAGACTTTTATCAGAAGCGCTTCTCTCACGAAACTTTTGCGAAGAAACACTTGAAAAAGAGCGAAAAGTTATTCTTCGCCAATTGGAAGTACTAATTATATTACTATATATAATATTTCATATTATTATTTATTATTTATTTTTATTATAGACTTTTTAACATTTTATATATATATTTATTATTACATTAAATTTATTTAACCTTAAACTTTTTATTACTTCATTATTTATTTATTATTGTTATACACTATTGTTTCTATTATTTATTTATTTTTATTATATAAACTTACTAAAAATTTTTTATATTTTTATATTACATACTTTGAATTATTATAACTAAGTTTTAGTGCACTTTTCTATTTTTATTATTTTTACCATTTTTTATTATCCTAAACATTTTTGTTTTTAGTACGTTTTACAATTTTTATTATATTATTGTTATAAAAAATTTTTTAATAAAAATATATTTTTGTTATTATTAAACTTATTAATATTTTTCTATTATTATTTATTTATTACTACTTTTGCAATTATTTTATTTTTTTTATATTTACCATTTATTATTAATCCTATAAACTTTTAAATATATTTTTATTTATATATTATCTGTATATATTTATTATTATATTATTAAATCTTATATATATTATTTATTAATTATTCACAATATTTAATATTATTACTATAACTTTAATATTTTTTACCATTTTTTTTATTTATTATTATTAAAATTTTTTTTTCCTATTTTGTTATTATTATTGTTTTTATATTTATTATTATAAACTTTTTATTGTTTTTTAATATTAAATTTTTATATTTATATTACTATTTAATTTTATTATTATCATTATTCATTATTATTATAAACTTTAATATCTCTGGATATATCAGTTTTTTTATATTTATTTATTAATCATCATAAACTTTTTACTATCATTTTATTTTATGATTACCAATTTTTATAAATTTTTTATTATATTTAACATTATTTTTATTATTATTATTTAATATTATGAACTTTTTATTATTTTTTATATTTATTAATTATTATAATATTTATAAATTTTAAATATTTTTCTAAATATTATAAGCATTTTAGTATTTTTTACTTTATAATTCTTAATATTATTTTGTATATATTTTTATAATTTCTTTACTAATTATTATTATTTACTATAAAATAAATAAAACTAATACGAATTTTTATAGTTTTCTTATTTTTATAAAAGTTTTATTATAATAAAATTTTTAAGCAAATACATATTTAAAAGTTTAAGTAAAATAAATATGAAATGTTATTATCATTATTCTTTTCTGAAAATATTTTAAAAAATTAATAATAATAATAGTGATAATTGAATAACTTCTGGAAGTAAAAAAAGAAATTCTTATTAAAAAATAAAAAAATTGTTATATACAAAAATAAAAAGTATTGAAATTTTTAGGAAATACTAATAAAAAAGTTTATATTTTTTATTTAAAATTGTTAGTATTACCTTTATAATAATAACTATTATTGTTATTAGGAAGTTCAGAATAATCCTGAAGCTCTCGTGACCGATTATCTTCATTCTGTAGCCTATCAGGGAACGGCCCTCAGCAAGAGCATTTACGGCTCCACTGCAAATATAGAAAGTATGCAAGTAGTGCACTTAAAAAGTTATATTGAGCAGGTTTCATAGAATAATAATAAAAGTAATATTAGTAATGATATTATTAATTTATTATTAATAAGAATTACTGCGGAAAAAATATTGTCGTATGCGGTGTGGGTGACGTGGACCACGCGGAGCTCGTGGCTATTTCGGAGGAAAAGTTTGGACACTTGAAGGAAACTTCGCTGCCTGCAGTCAACGACGTTGTGAGATATACAGTAATAATAATAACAATAATAATAATAATAATAAATAATAATAATAATAATAATAATCACCGCCGTGGAGGGGTCGGAAGTCCGCGTGCGCGACGATGATCTTCCTTACAGCTACGCGGCTGTGGCGTTCGAGGGCGTAGCGGCCATTCATCCGGATTTCTTTGTCGTGCAAGTGGCCAATCAAATGATGAGTAGTTGGAACCAAGCAGTGACTGGTGGAAAATTCCTTTCTAGCCCATTGGCGCGCATTATGGCCAAGTTTGTAATAATATTAATGAAAAATAATAATTATAAAGAAATATTTAAGGGAACGTCCTGCGCTGAGTTACAAAAACTTTTTGGTAAGTTATAGCGATACGGGCCTTTTTGGCTGCTATTTTGTAGCCGAGAGAGACCGCGTGGACGATGCCCTTTTTGAAATCCAAAGCGAGTGGCTTCGGATTTGCGTGAATTGCGGGGACCACGAGGTCCAGCGGTATACTGATTATTATTATTTTTTTTCATTATTAATATTAAGACAATCATTTAACTTTTATAATTCTTGTACTTAAAAGTGAACCGAAAATTTTTTTAGTAAATCCATAAAGTTTTAAAAATTACGGATAAAAGTTAAACTGTTTATTATTTGTTATTATTATTAATAAAAATATAAATTTTTTTTATATTATTATGAAAAAAAAAGTTATAAAAGTTATAAATAATTTTTAAGTTTTATCATTTTATTTTCTTTAAGGAATTACTACTTTACTTTTTCTTTTAAAATTTTAAAATTTTTTGTGTAAATTTTTTACAAAAGTTAATTATATAAAAAAGTTTATTACTTTTTATAGTTTTGTTGTAAAATATAATAAAAACGTTAACATAAATAAAAAATTTTATTATATTTTTATATATATAATTTTTTATTTTTATATAAAAAGAGATATAAAAGTTTAAGTTAGTCAGGCTTTCACTAATTTTTTTGAACGGCACCTTTTCACGCTTTTAAGTAATTTTCTTTCTTTAAATATTTTAAAGTGCGAAATTACGCCTGAGAAATTTTTTACTGGACAACCTTTGCTGCACCAACCACGTGTTCAATAGCCTTGGGCGAAGCCTATTGGCTTACGGAAGACGGGTTTCACCCATGGAATTGATAGAACAAATTGAACGCGTGACTCCTGAGCGCGTGAAAAGCGTGATGACGGATATTTTGTATGACCGCTGCCCTGCAATTGCTGGATACGGCGCCATAGAAGGTTCAACCACGTGACACGCTATGTGGCATATGCTTAGTATTTTTGCTATATAAATTTTCAGTTTATTTTTTTTGATATTAAACAACGTGGCCTACTCTTATTAGCATTATCCTTTTCCTTTTTTTACTACTGAATTTAATTTTTACTATTATTATCAGGCTTACCGGATTATATGAATGTGCGCGGAGCAAATCATTGGTTTCGCCTTTAAAGCATAATTTAAAAAAAATATTAAAGGTAAAAAAAAAAAATATTAAAGAAATAAACAAATTTGTAATCCTGAAGGGAAATTTCATATAAAAAAAATATAGAAAATTTAATTTGCAGTTTTTACGAAGGGTAAACGCCTTTATATTATAATTTTAAAAATATTATTATTTTTTAATGTTCAGTTAGAACGGGTATTAGTATCAAGTAGAAACTGCCGATACCAGATAAAGTCTCGTGCGCATCCAAAATCCATATTATATTGTAGACATATACAAATCTCTCTCGAGAGTAAGGAGCAGCCTCCGGGGGAGCGTGTGAGCCGCTGTTCCGCCTTCAATAAAGCATCGTGTTTTATATCTTTTATAGCCACCAAAATGTAATATTAACCACGCGTGAGGGTTAACGCAACAAATAGTTATAAATTCATCAACTTTAGTGAACTTGTAAACATTAATTTCCCGCAAAGCATGCTTTTTCTTGTTTGTAACATTTAACTGCTCTTTGTAATTTTAGATTTTTATAGGACACATTCATTTCGATGTTGACCTCTTTTTATTTTAACTTTATAAAATTTACTTTAAAGTTAATCTAAATCTTTACAAATCTATAAGAAAATTAAATTTCTTTCATCTTTTCTTAAATTTTAAGAAAAATTTTAAGCACCAACTTGTCATTATTTTTAAATATTCTTAATATTTTTTTCTTCTATTTTTTCACTTATAATAAACTAATTTCTGATCAATATTTTGACTTATTTTAACCTCAGAATTTATTGTAAACGTTTTTCCTACAAGGAAGATTATATTAATTAACAAAAAAAAAAAAGGAAACATATAATGTACTAATTAAATCAGGAGTTGGGATAATATTAATTTATTAACTTTTAGGATTATTTAAAGAAAGTTCGAGCTCACGTGGAATGGTAACCACAAAGGTGTTCATGTAGATTCACAAATAAAAATATTTTTTATTAAACAAAAAAAATCTAGCTAAAAAATAATTTCTTTCATAATTTTTTAAATAGTTAAGAAATTCAACCGAAAGTTGAGTTTTTGTGCGTTTTTAAGAGTTCTTAAATTTTTAACTACGTTCGTTCCTGGAAAAACTTCCTAAAGGAAAAAAGAAAAAAATATTTAAAAAGGGTAAATGCTAATGTGCTGCTTTCTTTAAATAAAATAAAGTCAAACCAAAAAATGGAATTAGTGTAGATTTTTGGAAGAGCCGATAACTTAGTAACTACGATGTTTAAGTAAAATTTATAAAAAGATAATAGTGATATGTTATATACATTAATACAGTAGTTACGAATTTCAATGCTTTAAGAACTTTCAAAAGTTTTAAAAGTTAAACAAAGAGTTGAGTTACGTACGTCTTTAAAAGCCGTAATTTTATAACCTACAGAGGGTTTATGTTAATATACAAAAAGAGATGAAAAGAACTGACTAAGATGTAAAGTGGTGAAATTATTAAATAATTTAAAAAGTTAAAAAGCCTTAATTCTGTAACTACAAAATATTGTTTATGTAAATTACAAAAAAAAAATATAGAACTATTTAACAAAAGTAAGTAGTTGTGAAAATATTTATCAGTTACGAAAAGTTAAAAGGAAAGTTGAGTGTACTTGCAACTTTAAAAGTATTAAATCTGTAACTACGAAGTTTAACATAGTACACACTTATAAAAATATACATTGGTTTAAATAAAAATAAACGTAAAATTATTGCTTTACCAGATTTATAAAACAAAGTCAAAAGAAAAATATGTATGTGAATCTTGAAGGGTCAATAAATTTTTAGTTGCATAAAAACTTGCTTGCTTTTTTTTTTTTTATCTAAAATAATTTTTTTACTCCTAACGTAAAAGCTTAACACAAGCTTTTCAAATATCCTCGTAATAATAAAATAAAATTAGTAAGTTTTAACGAATAAGGTTATTGCTATTATAATATTTTATATAACTAGCGTTTAAGGCGAATTTTTCTGTAAAATTTTAACCAAGCTATTAAAAGTTTATTAGAAGACCTACAACGTTACGAGAATAGTGTAAACTTCTCTTTAATAGCTTCTTGAAACCAGTTCTACTAGATTCTTTAAACGTGGAGATCCTAATCACTTCAACACTAACCCATAATTCCCAAAGGCCAAGCAGCGGACATCAAAGTTACATGGCTAGTGCAGAGGACATAACCTTTAGCTACCAGTTTCAACTTTAAGGCAGCTCGTTAATAATGGCCGCCGAAATTTTTACGTCCTGACTTGTATCAATGTTTAATTATATAAGTTCGTTGGCAACGGTTGGAAGCGAGCAGCAGCGACTCTTTGTTCCCGCAGCAACCTTAGACAGAAGCTCGCTATGCTATAAGCATCGCCTCTAGTTTATTAAGTAATTAATAACGTTTCCTGGTGTTCGATCGAGTTAGCAAACTTCGAATACACGAGCTCCCAAACAGGTTTTTAGTAATCCACGAGGATAAGTAAAAGTATCTTAACACTTTTCCTTCACAGTTCAGTCTAAATTCCCAACTCAGCTTTCAACCGCCGTGCTAAAAGCGAGCTGCGCAACTGACGGTATTGTGGGTTCTTTTAATAATAAGCTTTTAGCTTGTCCAGTGGCATCATTTCAATAGCGTGGTCAGCAGCTCGACCTGTAGTTCTTGGGGAAGTGTATTATTGAGCACAAACCAAGGCGCGTTTGTGGAAAGGCGCAGAAATTTGCCTTGTCGCACTTGAAGCGAGGACGTCATTGCCGGTAAGCGGTAGGCCCAGGCAGGAGTGCATAGGTCATAATCTGCCGAATGCACCACTCATAAAGCCTTCGCTTATTGCGCAACGAAAGTTTACGTTTACTGCATTATAAAAGATATAGCATCTTGATCGCAGCCCTGAGTTTCGCCGCGACGTAATTTACATATGGGTGCCACGACATCTTAGATTAGCCTAGTATTTTACCTGAAAACACCACGGAATTTCCCTGCCGTTAAAAGTTAACGGAGTCGACAGCGCATGGCTTTTCCTCGTTATAAGAAGCGTTTTACTTTTTGCTGCGTTAATTATAAGGGCTCCCTTGACGACAACAGCTAGCAAGTGCGTCGAAATAAATTGTAGGTGCTGACATAGTAAAAAAGATGACTTTCGCTATGAATAAATCATTGTATCCTGGGCTTAAATGTCGACCTGTGTATGAGGACGAACTGGAAGAGGAATGTCATTCGTATAAAGCGCGAATAGCAGCGGTGATAGAAGTGAGCCTTGCGTGACTCCTGCTGTGAGATAGCGAGGCGACGACAGTGCTGCGCCTATCGCACGTTAAAGACCAGGCCGTTTAGGTACGACTTGAGAACATTTCGAAGGCCGCTGGCGATATCGCCAAAGCATGTTGCCTAACAGGCCACCATGCCATACTCCGTCAAAAGCCTTTTCAAAATCGAGAAAGACAGCGCCCGTAGCTTTTTTAAAATTAAAGGCTCTAGCCGTTCGCTTGCTAAGGGCAAAGAACTTGCTGGGTCGGAGAGTGTCCCTTGAGAATCCAAACTGAAACTTTAGTCAACCGACCTCAAACGGTTTAGGTATCATTGCTGCAGCTACCTTACCAACTGTTGAGAATGGACTGATGGGTTAGTAGTTGTGAGGTTCTGATGCTAGTAACATCACGACTTCGGCGATGCTCGCCTAGACGAAGTCAACTCTGAAATGACGAGGCAGCATAATTGATTCATAGCAGCATCTGGCAACTGTCGAACATCAGGTCAGTGATGCCGCCAGGGTAGGGCCCTTTCCTTCCAGTAGTGACTTGATAATTAATTTGATCTCTTTATGGTAGGCAGTTTCAGAAAATCTTGTATCAGTCGAGATAAGATCAGGCACAAGGGGAGCGTTGTGGATGATTGAGGGGGTAGACGGCGATTAACGGACAGCTAGGTAATCAGAAAAAAGTTTCTCTTTGTCTTAATTGCTTGGAGCTACAGTATCTCCGGTGGGAAGTTGTGTCCCAGTTTGCTCGCGATTTCTAACTCGCTTGACAAATTTTCAAAAGTAGGCGCCACCATGTTACCTGCTTTCGATACTTCGTTTAATTTGTAATCCCATTAGTAGTTAATATGCGCCTTCAGCTCTTTCCTGATGTGCCACTGAAGCCGGTTTAGCACTAGTTTGTCTACCGTGCGTTAAAAGGCCAAGACTACTCGGATGAGTCGCCGACGCTAGCATATTAGTGCCTTTAGTTTCTTATAAAGGTGTTGTTTTGGGCGGTACCCAACTTTAAGTGTCGTCATTACTTTACTGTAGCTTCTGTCATCGAACGCTCAAATTCCACAACAGCACTGTACAGTTGAGCGGAAGTTTCGAGGGGTGCTAGGGACGGTGGGAGCGGCTTTTCGAGAATTTCAGTGATTTTGTTTCCAATTCGTGTAAAAATGGGAGAATGTTTTTATTGATACCTTTTCGTTGCCCAATTCGAGTAGGATAGGTGAATGAGTCTACTACATAGTCGTTAGAAGACATATTTAAATATGGCGGTAGCATGTCCATTGTGCCCGTCTTCCTCGCCTTGTGTGTTGGCAGCTATGGTCTTAGAGCTCTCATCCACTCTCCTCAGCCTAAGCTTTAAGAATGTAGCCCTTCCGGTTACCGAACCGGCTGTTCCACGAGGAATGTATACAGTTATAACCTCCCCATAGAATGGTCAGAATGTCTTAAACCAAAAGAGCGACAAAAATGAACATCGTGAGTAGTTGACTGGGCGGTTTGTAGATAGTAATCACTATTATAGGCCCCGGTCTAGCCAGTTGGGGTCATACCGACCGCTTCGATTCCTTGCAAAGTTGGTAATGCTTTCAAAATGTGTGGGATTTTTTTCGTTTGATTAGCATAGCCACTTCTCCACCACTAGTGTACAACCGATTCTGATAATTCTCCGCAAAGTTGCAGATGTTAAATGGCACATTAGGGGAGAAATGTGTTTCGCTGGCAGCACAGAAAGCTATTCTTTCACGTTACATTTATGCAACTCGTGTTTATTCTTTTGGTTGC